CCTATGCTTGGTAATATTTCTCCATCAAGTTCTAGTTTGTGTGTGTGTGTGTGTGTATGCTTGCTTATCCTGATGCATCATTTAGCAGAAACCATTTCTCCTGAAATCTTTCATTATCATTTCATTGAGAGTAATGGAAATGTTACCTGTCCTTCTTTATTTGTTGCAAAATTTAGGGACAAGGAAGAAGACCGTATATGTTTTCTTAAAATCAATGGCCAGCACATTACTGTAAAACCTATTGATTAAAAACACAAAGTATAATGTTAGTCATTTAGTCTGTGAAGTGATGCAATAAGGGAAGAAATTTATCCTTTGACTTTTGCATTAACCTTTTATTGACTGCTTGCATACCCATAATTAACACACACTTTAGCTAAAGTGGTTAATTTTAGCATGGCGACCACTGTTCACTAATGTAGCTGCAATCCCGATCATCCAAATGTAAGTGCAGCCCTGGGGGAAATCAACGGGGCAGTGAGGCCCCATATGAGTTTCACCTTGGGGGGTGGGGACCTCTGGACAATCTGCTAACAGCCAGCCAGTGTGACACCTGTCAGTTGCTTCCTGTTGCGTCACTAGGTCATTCGTGGAGAACCATTCCCAAGTAGCAGAGAGTTTTAGGGGGTGGCTGATAGAGTTCTTGCAGTCAAAATAATGTGAATTTAGGGGAGAGAAAGAGAGAGAGAGATGAAGTGTATATATATATATATATATATATATAATTTTCCTTTTCTTCCTTTGAAATGCTTCATGAAAGGGGAAGTATTTTCTGAATAGATCCAAGTTTATTTGCTAACCCAAGATGCATTAAAAAATAGAGTTTTTCTTTAGAATAGGATTAGAGAGGACAAGATTGAAAGGGAAACTAACTTCCTTACAGTTTAGCTGGGTTCAGGTAGGACCTAGGAATGACACTGGGTTAAGGGAATCTTTTTTAACTTTCTTTAACAAGATCATCCATGTCTAATCATAAAAACTGGCTTATTTTCATGCAAAGGCCAGTGGCACTAGCAGTCCCCTTGTGTTCTGGGTAGAAGTTTGTCCCAAACAGAAATACTAGTTGAACCAAAAACAAACTCCGGTGCTCTCATGCTTTCCTGCCCAGACGGTCTCCGCACACACTCTGCTGTATCTGTCAGCAGCGAAGTCTCGGATTGGGGAGAGGACTCTCTGTGTCCACAGGGCTATGGCAATGGATGTTGTGAAAGGCAGGAAGTAACTGAGACCTAGGAAGCATGGCCGGCATGTCAGCTAGGATTCTTTGGGTTGCAAGCAACAGAAAAACCTAACTCAAACGTTAAAGGTGTATGAAACCGACTAGTCTAAGTGTAGCCAGCTTCAGGTGAGGCTTGACCCAGCTACTCAAACAGCATCGCCCAGGACTGAGCCCCTTGCTGCGTGTTAGCAAAATGATTATGGCAGCTCTGCATCGCACGTCCTAATAGTTCACAGACCAGGGGAGAAGAAAGCCTTCTCTTATAGCTCCCGTACCAGTCCTCTGATTTATTCTTTTGATTTTTCCCCAGACTGGGTCATGTGCCTCCCTCTAAACCACTCCCTGTGGCTGGAGGAGGATGCTGTGCTGACTAGCTAGAGTCAGTCAAGGCTCTCCACAGGCTGTAGAGGTGGAGTCAGTCCCCCCAAAATGAAGTCACAGAGCGTGGGGAAGGGACGAATTCCCCATAGGAAAATTAGAATCCTGCTGATGGGAGTTGTGAGAATAGATACAAAACAATAAATGGCCACCACAATCAGTGTTCCTTAAATAGTTCTTAAAACAACTTGGGACCTCTTGATTTTGCAAGGGACTATAGAGTCTGTGCTACAAATACCAAATCAATCTCAAACAACCACCATTTAGAAGGTCCAACAACACTGCCTTTTATTAATCCTAGGTCTTCAGGAACAACTGCTGATCCCTTCTGAATCTGAATGTTCTAGCCCGTCCCTGGAAAGTTGTAGCAGCTGAATACATAAGCATCAAGATCCTGGAATGTCACAAAGTGGTGGCATTCAGCTGTAGGCTCAGTTTGATTCAAGCCAGAAAGAGCTGCGCCTGTATCTCCAGAGCTTCCCCTAGAAAGAGTCCATCGGGAGGCTGCCCACCCAGTTAGCGTGGAGGAAGGAGTTTGCCCAGCTGCGACAGGCAGCACTCTTGTTGGCATCTCTCGTCCGTCACTGGTACTCACAGTACAAGTAACAATAGTGATAATGTTTAATATTTCTTGAGCACTTGCTATGTGCCAGGCAGTGTTCTAAGTACTTCCTCTGTATTAATTCATTTAATCTTCACATCAACCCCATAAGTGAGGTACTGTTATTGTCATCGTCATCGTCATCATCATTGCCACTTGACAGACAAGAAACTGAGGCTCAGCAAGGTAAAGGAACCTGCCCACGATGTCATGGCCCTGGAGAGTAGCAGTGCCACGAGTCCAGAGAACACGCTGTTAACCACTACGCTGCAATCCCTCCCTCCCTCACCACCTTCGGAAACTGAGATCCAAGAAAACAGAGTGAGTGACATAGGCACGAGAAGTGAGCACCTAGAGGGGGACAAGCCTTCAAGTAGCTCCCAACCTTTTCCTTTTCGATTCCACAGTCTGGCACGATGCTGACTCAGACGATATAATTTGAGTTGGGGGCATCTGTCCTTCCCATAGGTGACTAATCACCTCCAACAAAGAGCCATCTTCTGGGCCCTGTCGCTATTTGAAATCGGCGAGGGCACTGGGCATTAAAGGAAGGATTTTAAAGCAATCTTGAAATCTCTGAAGAAACCCAGCAAAGGGTTCTACTCCCAGCCCAGACGGAGCAGTGAACACACGCAGCTCCTCGCCTATCAGGGCCTGCGTGCGAAGGAGCTGGTGCCACGCCAGCTGGTCCTTTGATGAGAAGAACAATGACAGAAACCATGCAGTAGCTTTGCCCAAAAGAAAAGCCAGTGGGCTTGGGAAGCGTGTACAACACAGCATTAAGCAAACCTCTGCAGCAGGTCTGAATATTTTTAATCCACTTTCTCAAAGTGAGGAGGCAAAACCCATTTGACAGGTGAGAAAGCATCTCTATTGACTTTTTACAAACCTTATGATATTCTAGGTGGATCGACACTTATCACAGCCTTTTAATCTGCCAGCCAGGATAATGTGCGCACGGATAATTTATCCACTGTGAGATTGAAATGCTCAATTTGGAATAACTTTCCCTACCCAGTAAATTGAGCATTACTCCAGGGTTCCGAGGCAGAGAGAAAGCACAATTTAAAAAGCCTTGCAGAGTTCCTTTGTAATTAGTTGCGGCTTCCCTTGAATGTTAATTCCCTCCTCATCCCTTTCAAGTGGCTTAGAGACTGTCTCCAGAACGGCAGAGATGCATGCTCAGAACCACGACAGCAAGCGACAGTCTCAAGCACCTATTATTAAGTAGTCTGCAGAACACACCCTCTGTTCTTCAGTGCAGTGTCGCTTATCAGAGCAAACAGTTTAATATTTATGCTAAGAGGATTGTCAAAAGCAGCTTCTGTTGCTTTAATTCTTGTTTTAAATAAATAATGAGAACATTTAAACACATTACTCTTCTTGGGGCCCCGAGGTCAGCTAATCTTATTATTTATGAAGTGATGTGCTACATAATAGTACTTAGTGCATGTTAACAGACGCTATTATCAGGGCCTGGTGCGGAGAGCTGAAGATATATTGGAATGTTATGTGTAATGTACGACGGATTGAGTGCATAGGATGCCGGTATGGCAATTAACCACATGCGAAAATAGGTGTAAAGTTGAAGTATGTTTTCCCGTGGGGATTCCTTCGCCATTAATAATTCCCCAGAGAAGAAGATGTCTTGGAGTTAGGAACCTTCTCTCCTGGCAGGCCTGGAAATGGGGCCGGATATTCCATCCTTTGATCTCTTCGTGGTCATTCCTACACGGCCAAAAGACAAATAGTGGCTCTGACCACTTTTTAATCGATATAGAGAAAGAGGCAGAGAAGGCGTGGGTGGGAGGTACCCGTGCACGTCTTCCAAATGTACTCACGGCACTTGTTTTCGGCGCACGCTTTCGCTGCCGTGTGCTCCAGTAGCGTAGGGAAATTGTTCCTTCCTTATTGCAATTTGTTTTCTCCTCTCCGATCTTCATTTCTCAGGTAAATAAAACTAAAGCCACTGAGCTTTCCCAGACCACTTTTAAATAAGCTGGCCTCTCTGAGAGTAGATGCCAAGGTGTGATGATGTTGCCCCAATTTTTTTCCTATGAGGCTATAGTTTAGCTGCATATGATAATTAATTTCCCTACTATTGATGAATAATCCATTTAATAAAAACCGTGATTTAAGTGTTTTCCTTAGGGACTAACTCTTGCTAGCCTCTTAATTTAATTTTGTGGAAGTTTTCCCCACCTCTTCATCAGCGGAAATGATTATTAACCTCTATTTGCATATATCCTTATAAATCGGTCTCTCCTTGGAGTGCCTTTTTCTGAGCACAGCAAGCTGGGACACTTGTAAATCTCCAGAATCTCCAAAGTCAATCCTGGTCTGTAATATTGTTTAATCTATTCTTGGACGTTTTAATGCAGTAAATTCAATTTAATCTTTCCCAGTAATCTAGTAATACATCGAAATCCCACAAACATTCAAATCTGATAATGGCTTAATCACACACTTTAAATAACAGTTGAGATAATGAAAAAATAATTCACCATTTTAAAGGCAAAGTAACTGAATTTCCCCGATGATTGGCTTCTACCAAGCCACTCGAGATAATACGAGGCTGGGGATTGAAAAAAAAGCAAGTCCCAGCACCCAAAGGAACAATTCTTCCTTCTTGTAGATACCTGCTTTCTGCCTTGCAAACTCATTCGTTCCCCATCATGACCACAACCTTCGCCGCAGAGGATTGTTTTTGCAGCATTTGCCAGTGTTGCTCCAGTTTCCCGTGGGTCTGGGTCTTGTAAGAGTTTCCTCCCATGGATTAATTACCTATTCTTCCTCTTCCAGGTGCCAGTGTCGAATTGCCCGAACTCTACCCGTGGACCAGAAGCCGGAATGTCGGCCATACTGGGAGAAGGAGGATCCTTCTATGCCTCTGCCGTTCGATCTCACAGACATCGTTTCAGATCTCAGAGGTCAGCTTCTAGAAGCAAAGCCCTAGAGGGAGCACAAGTCTTAGGTGGAGGAGAAGAATATATCTTTCTTTTTCTCCTCCAGCCTTGTCATGAGCTTGAGTAAGGGCAGTGTAGACTTCTCTTGGCCCTTAGATTGTAGCACCTGGGTCCCAGTTGGAAACAGCTAGGGAATGGAGCCCGTGAATTTTTAAATGTTTAAAAACGACACAGTCTTATAGTCTGATTTGGTATTAAACAAGAACTTTCCCCAAAAAAACTTCCCCACTTGGATTTTTTAATCGGAGCCAATCAGCCACCAAGGGCCAAGGAAAACCACAGGGATGAGCCCAGCGTGTAACAAAACCTAACCTACTTTCCTCCTTCCCAAGCTTCTTCAGGGATTCTAGAGTGGACCAGTCATCTGGGGAAAGACAGAACTTAGAGACATCTATCCCCGCTTCTCACCGCACCCTCTAGAGGCCGTGCTGTCCAATGGTAGCCACTAGCTAGCTGTGGCTACTTAAATTTAAATTCAGTTTTAATTTTAATTAAAAATTCTGTTCCTCGGTTGTCCTAGCCACATTTCAAGTGCGTAATGGCCACATGTGGCTAGTGACAACCATGTCGGACAGCACAGATGTAGAAAAGTTTCATCATTATAGAAAGTCCTATTGGACAATATTTCTATAAAAAGTTTGAAAGCAAAAATTCTTTTTCCCAATTCTCTCTTTCTTTCTTTTTTTTTTTTATTCACTAAGTGACTTGACTTGAAACTCATCTTTTCCAATTCTCTATAGCTTCCATCCCCGTAGGAGAAACTAAAAGAGAAATGACTCATGAAAGAGTAGCCTCTTCCCTTCTAAGGCGAACTTGAGTCCCAGTGTGAGTTAGGAGTCCTACACTCTGCACACAGGAATAAGGCGGCGTTCACAATTCAAATAAAGTGGGTATCCTGTCTTTAGGGGGTTCCCAGATCTAATGAAGAGACACAGCCCCCTTTACGTTGCTCCATGGATTCGACCAGCACAGTATAGTTTTTTCCTAAAAGTCCCCCATTCACATGTAATGACAGCTGGAATTGAGGCTTGGAGAACCCAGTGCCCCATCCTGGTGACACTGGGGCATCAGAGAGACAATGGAGATTAGAAGTTAAATCTGGGCTCTGGTTTTAGAGTGCCTGGACGAAGATTCCCACTAGCTTTTGTGACCTTTGGCACGTTGTTGTTCCTCAGTTTCCTCATCTGCATAATGGGGATACACTAAAGGCACCAACTCCCAAGGTGAAGTTTAAGTGAGATGATCCAGTACAGACTTAGAACCATTTCTGGCACGTAGTTAAATACCCAGTAAATATTAGTATTATTATATATCAGTAAGCTGACCTGGATTTAGATGTTTTCTTCTCCTTTTCTCAATCCCTGTGCCAGTTTTGTCTCGTGATGCCATTAACACATCTCCCCCTTTCCGGCCTGGCTCCTGCCCCTTGGTGTCCCCAGAAATCGTGAGAATAGTTAGCCCCTGTCCCCAGCCTGTCGCCTTCTCTTGTAGTTGTTCACAGTAGTTTAGGAGCTGAAGAGCCTTTGCCCGTTGAGAGTAAACCCTTTCCTGCCATCAGAGTCTCAGTGGGTCAAGGTACGCGCCCATCACCATGGAGGTAACAGCCACGGAAAAGTCACGTTCCACAAAGCAGCCAGGGTCCCATCATGTTGAGACTCGAGTCTCTCGGATCTTGGATTAATTCCCTGATGTCTTTGAACCTCGATTTCCTCATCAGTAAAAGAGAGGTGAAGCTCTACCTCACAGGGTTGTTACAGAGATGAAATGAAATAGGTAAGGGGTGCATGGAAATCACAGGTTGGGCACCCTCAGGCCATCCAGCCCAGTGTGTCACGTAAACCCCAGGGTGTTTGTTCTTTGTTGTATTTCGGTAGATGCCAGTATTGAAAAATTGGGAGATTTCACATAAAATAAAAATGTCTGCCTTCTCTTTAGAATCCAGAACACCTAGTAGTCCTAGGCCTCCGTCCTAGCATGGCAACTCGCTGAGTAGTGTCTTCCCGCTCCGAGGGGGGGCGCGAACCCTCCCCGCGGTTTGCCCCAGGCCCTGCCGCTCCCCGGTGTCGCTTACCGTAGATCTGACCTGCTCCACCCCTGCGTGTCCGCGCTCTCCAAACCTGCTTGCTTGCACCCCTGTAGTAGAAATAAATCATGTTTAGCGCTCACCTCAATATTTGTGTATTACTCTTGAACTGTGTTCACCGACTGCTTGTACTAATGTCGTGTGCATCATAAAGTATTCATATACAATAAAAATATTAAAAGGATGAGATAAGAAACCAAGAGAGGTTCTGCTGTTTCCTTCCTTGCACAGCAGTGGATGGGCCAGCTTCGCTGGTCTGGGTGGGGCCCAGGTGGAGCCAGGTGACGTACAGCAAGGTCGGAGAAGCCACTACCTTAAGGGAGTCCAAAAGGTGAGATTGCATGTTCCCAGAAGACATGGCGGCTTCCTGTGAGCATGAGCGCAGTGTGTTTGAGGATTACGTATGCTCTCGGGGGAGGTTTCAGGTGGGAAGAAGGAGGCGGGCAAGAGACAGTAAAAAGGTGGCTGGGGGGTCAGTGACGATCCACTCATATCCTGCAAGGTCGAGAGAAGGCCTGTTTCTCCCCTGTGAACTGGGGAAAGACTTTGCAGAAAACACAGGTCCAGAAATCGCTTTCTCCCCCTGACGTGTGTGGCCGAGGGGGCCAGGGCAGCCTTGATCCTGGGATGGCCTTGCATGGGCTGCAGCCCCCACCTGCTTTCCTGCCGGGCTTGCCTGCAGTCGCCTCAGGTCCCCGCTACCTTGCGAAAAGTGACCTAAGACATCCCTCTGCGCTCAGGCACTACTGACTTCGCTCTCTTCCTTCCTCCCACAAACCTTTCCTGGCACCTACCACAGCTCAGCAGTTGGCAAGCGCCTCGGATCCAAGGACAGATCGCTGTCCTCCAGGGGCCCCCAGGCTAGTGGACCCCCAGGGGTGTGTAGTGACCAAAACAGGAACTTACCCTGCCGTGGGGAAACGGATACTACCCAGCAAATAAATAAGTAGATCATTCCAGATGACTATAAGTGCCAGGAAAGGAACCAACTAGGTGAAGGACCAAGGGGGCCTAGATCAGGAGAATGGAGGTGGGAGGGAAGAGATTTCCAAGACAGGGACAGCGGGGCCGAGGCAGGGAAGGGCTTGGTAGGGGTGCCCAAGGAAGAGACAGGGCCCTGTGGCCAGAGCAGAGAAGGCAAGGAGCAGGCAGGGCAGCACTCGGGCTTTGGTTCATGCGCCCCAAGAAACGCAGAAGGGTTTTATGCAGGAAGGACGGGATGGGGGGGGTAACTCGATAAGGTATTTTTATGCTTTAGACAATCACTCTGGCTACTGTCTGGATTCCAAAGGGGTCTCTGAGAGAGCAGATGGCTCGGTCCAAAGGCGCGGCTTTCCAGCTGGAAATGTCCCCCCTCGTGGGGAAGGTGGGCAAGGTGGCCCGCGAGCCCCTCCAGGTCCCTCCCGTCTGCAGCGCGCGCTCCAAGCTGCACCTCTGCACCCTGGCAGCATGCATCCCTCCTGCTCTCACCGGCAGCCTCCAGCCCCAGAGAGCTTTCTAGACATAAAAGAAAGAAGCAGGGTCATGGCATCACTTGTGACACAATTTTAGTAATAAGCTTCCAAATCCATCACTAACAGAATCGAGGGATGCTGGAAATGAGATTCCGTAGGCCCTGTTTAGTGGACCCCGCGTTCCGTAGGAGGGTTTTTGTACGTTTCCAGGGAAGGAAGGTATTTTCGAATGCAACTTTTTTTTTTTTCCCCTGCTCTAGTTAAGGCTGATTTTTCCACTGGGCAAATTGCATACATTTGGATCCATGCCACGCTAAATACTGTTTATTTTGGAGATCTGTCAGAGGCAAGCGCATGGCAGACAAGGGGATTCTGATTTGAAAAGGCAATTCGCATCCAGACAGATTCAGATGGAGAGGAGCGGTGCGGATTAAAATGCGCTGAAGTGGTAATGCCGTTTATCCAGTTTGCCTTTGTTACTTTGTGATTAAATGGTATTTTTAATTAAGTTTCATTGGGAGCCATAGGTATCGCGGTGGTGAAATCAATTTGACAACCATAAAGTGGGGGGAGGCACAGGCGTGTTGGGATGATTGCGGCTGTAGGGAAAGCTCGGTTTAAGAGGATGGGGAGGGGAGGCCGGTAACGGCTTCCTGCGAGACAGCAAGGGCGCCCAGGGCCGCTGCTGTGTTTGGGGGGCAGGTGTCAGTGGTGGTCAGGGAGGGGGGTACACCTGCTCACCTGAGACACACGATATATTCCAGACCCCGCTGGGAACTCCAGGAGAGTATCTGCAGGGTGTGCTTCTCCTCCCTGTCTCATCGACAAGGACACATGACAGCCCCCTACACCCCATCTGGAATGTCCAGACCGCTCTCCAGCCTGGCTCCCAAGCAGTGCCTTCCCAGAATCCTTCCTCCCACCCGCCCCCCTTCTCCCAGGACAGATCTAGCTCCCCCCGCCGTCTCAGAACCTTCCAGGGGCAAGTTCTTCTTGGTGTCCGGCCCAGATCCTCCTCCACCAATTGGAAACGAGTCCCCTCTGCACCCTGTGCTCTGTCCCTCCTGCTGTCATCCATCGGATTTTCCAGATCTTCTGATTCCTGATGGAGTGTAGGCGCTCGGGGCTGCAGCTTCCCTGGCTGTGAGTCCTGGCTCTGTGTGTGACGCGGTGGCTGCCCACTCCTTCCAACCTTTGTTCTCTTGTCTACAAAATGCGAGTAACAGTAATCTGCCACCTAAGGTGGTTGTGAAGATTCAGAAAGTTAACGTGCACATAAAATGCTTCCCACGGTACCTGGCATACGCAGGTCTTCGGTGAGGTCCTAGCTATTATGATTAACCCAGTTTCCTGCGATGACAGTTGTAGCTTATTGACTCGGGCAAATCCCTTAACCTCTCTGTGCTCCAGTCGTTGTTTCTATAATGGAGTTGATGATAATGTCTAGCTCATTAGATTGCTCTGTCCCCTGCGATCATGTATATCAAGTGATTTCGCATCATGTCTGGCACTTAATAATCACTCCGTGCATGTAAATTATTATGATGAAAAATATTATCGGTGGTATCCCGACCAAAATACTCGAGGAGACTAAAGCTAGCTGTGGTTTGTTTAAGAAGAATGTTATGTTACCATCCCATATTATCCCATTTGCTCTTCACGGCTTCCGTTTTTTGCCAGGCAGGTGGCACAGAACTTTTTATAAATGAGATACTGTGAAAAATGATGCTTCAGGACTCCCATTACTACAGCGGGACTAGGTCACCCACTGCAATTTTAGATTTGCTTAAAAAAATTCTCGCCGTCACCTTCTAATGGATGATCTGTGTACAACAATTGTTTATTGACTCTGAATGTCTAAGTAC